AATTTGCTCACAGAGTCGGCCCGATTCCAAAATGGTATGATATCTTGGGCTACGACCTCTAGGAGTGAAGTTGAAAAAGTCTGACACAGTGACAAACTGACTTTCACATTTATTATATTGATATATAAAACAATTTGACAAATGGAAAACATTTTATTGAAAGTAGATTTGATTACGCGTTTAAATGTCATATGAATTTCTTGCTTTCGGGCCATTCTGAAAATGAGATGAGAATTTACCTTTAATTCGATACAAAATAGATGGGATAATATTACCAACTTTCTACATCAACTAAGAATTATAAAGAAAAAATAGAGAATAAATATTAATGGCTTTTTAAAAAGTCATTCATCTTCTTTCTTCTTCAATCACGAAAAACATCAGCTTAGGGGAAAAAGTACTGTGTTTCATTACTTAAGCATACGCACAATTACACACACACGATTTTTTTCTTTCGTTTTTGGATCTGATGAAGCCTCGAAAGGCGAAACGCGTAATCAAATCTAGTTTCAATGAAACGTTTTCCATTTGTCAAATTTATTTAAAATTTTGTCGGGATTCTATCTCCTATTTTAAACACCCCGCCACACCTGTATGTATGTGTGTAAGTAACAATTTCTACAGAAGGCTCAGATACTACACTCTGATCCTTGGTGGAAGATCGGGAAATAAGGTAGTGAGCGCGCACAAAAAAATCTGGTTACATTACGTAATCTCGATCTGTAAATAATTCTGTAATTTTTGACGGGCACTCAGCTAGAATATGCATATCATATATATATATATATATATATATATATATATATATATATATATATAAAGCGAACATTGAAGTCAACACTCAGAGGCGACAAACTGTTTCATGCTAAACGCAATCATCAGGCCATCTTGCGTTTAACATGAAGCAGTCTAGCACCTCTGAGTGTTGACTTCAATGTTCACTTTTATATTTACATACGCTCTATCTCTGATATTGAGCACTTTCTCCCATACATATAGCACACCATAAACTATATTTTGTCATATATATATATATATATATATATATATATATATGAGTGTGTGTGCATGTTTATGTGTGTGTGTGTGTGTGTGTGTGTGTGTGTGATAACGTGGCAAAAACTATTCGTGTGACGCGTTTCATCCCTTAATAGTTCATTGGAATAAAGTGATGTCTAAAAATAAAATTCGAACTTTCAGCGTTTCCTCTCCTTCGTGCGCATGCGTGGTCGCATGAATGTCGGCATCACTTTATGACAAAAACATTTTTCCACTTTGTCACAGATTTTCCTAAAATTGTTCTTGATTTCATTTATGATGCAATTTATATATCATATATATATATATATATATATATATATATATATATATATATATATATATATATATATACATGATTTAATCAAAGTGTTCTTGGGTGTAACTTTTGTCCTTGAGAAAGGCATGTGCCTAAATTTCTTTTATGCATAAATACGTGCATACGCCGTGTGAATACGCTTTAGTCACCGCATTATCTGAGTCTAATTAATCAATCGATACAAAAACCACGAGAAACCGACCTATTTTAAGATAATTCTCTAAAAACCAAAGTAAGAGTAGGAATGCATTTGAACAGATATTACTCAATTCACTTCGCTTTATATAGTTCTTCATTGTCATCTATGACGGTTTGATGTTCCGTTGTGTTATTTTCTTTTTTTATTTGGAGGTTTCTGTTCCAGTTGCAATCTATGTTAGTGGAAAAAAAAAATCAACAATAATCAATACAAGAGGAAGTAAATTCATTCGAGGTTCCGGCAGGAAAAGCAACGTACATTACGAACAACAAATTAAACATCCTAATTCGGTTATCATTCCTTTTGATGTTTCAACTATCCGCTGCATATCAAATTTAATCGTCATCGTTACGTTTTTTTTTTGTTTTTTTTTTAAATAGTAATTATAACCATAAATTTTAGTGCCTGTTTCTCTGTAAACACAAACATAGCTGCTCATATCCGAGTATGCCTGTCTAGTCGCTGGACTAACTAATCCCTGTTGCAGACTCCTGCTCAGGCACATTTGTGTCTATAGACAACCTATATAGTTACAAGGAGGGATTACGTAATCTAGCATGACCAACAGTTTGAATGAGACTAATAGGTTCAGACAACTTGGCGAGCATAACCATTAATGTTTTCCAAACAGTTTTTTCTACCAAATCTTAGTCACAAGGCTTGGATCAACCTCTGGTATGGTTTTTCAGGCACATCCTAACAGTACATCAAGTATAAAAGGTTTACAACATATAACTTAATTATCGCCAGTAACACCGGGCTTGATAAATGTAAAAATAATCTTGTCTATGAACTCTCAAGCCTTTAGGGAGATTATAAAAAAAAAACAATATTAAATATTTACATTGAGCCCGAATGCATCACACTCTCTTGCAGATTGGCCTGTCACCTGTCGTAACTTAGTGCAATCCATGCACACATCGACCAACACAACATGAACGACCATTCCAGACTATGACGATAAACTACAACCTAATTATAAATACGATTAAAAAGCAATTAAAAACATAATTCTCAAGTACATATCACTCAAAGATCTTTAAAAAAAAAACTTAAGATTTATAATCTATTTTAAAATGTTTACAACATATAACTTAATTATCACCAATAACACTGGGCTTCATAAATACCCCAATGTAAAAATAATGTTGTCTATGAATTCTCGTACACTTTGAGAGATTGCATCGCCAACACTAATAGTCGAAAAACGACATTAAATATTTACATTGGGCACACATGTACCACACTCTCTCGCCGATTGACCTGTCGAAACTTAGTGTAATTCGTGCATACATCGACCAACAAATCATGAAAGATTAAAATGTAACTATTAACATAAAACAAATATTAGTTGACAAACCAAAATACTGTATTGCAACGAAAGACTCAAAACTTTAGAAGCTATTACTATACAGAATAAGTAGCCCATTAATTATGGGAGATAGTATCTTGAAGTGCATATGATATAATTAATGTATTCACATATTATATTAGTATCAAAATTAATAAATGAATTAATTAATTGATAAAATAAAATAAATCGCATTCTTTTTGTACAGTCTTGTTCCCCATAGCAGTTACACATGACGTCACGTTAGGTCATTTCAAAAATCCAGCGTCCGAATGAATACCAAGATGCAGACAAAAGAGTTAAAAATACAACACCAGGCACCAGATCGGTTCTTCATAATGACTGGAAAATCGAAGCTGCTTGAACAAAAATAATAAAATATGAACTTCGGACAGTTTAACTTCGAATATAAATACTCAACACCTCACTGGGTTACTTCAAACAACGCTTTTATCCATTGGGGCATGTGTTGACCCAAAGAGTTGTGAGTTCAATTCCAGGCCACAGCAGAGGTGAACAAAAAAACTTGGAGAGTTGAATCACTAAAGAGAAATCACTAAAACTGAGATATCCAGAAAAAAGTATGGTATGTGGAACTAGAACAATTTACCCCGGTAGACGAAATAAAGAGTTCGGTTCGAAATTTCAACATATATCGCCTGAAGAAGGTCGGAGAGTACGATGACCGAAACGTCGCGAACATGACAGTAAAGATGAGGACAACAGTCCGAATAATGTAAATAGTTACAATATATTCAGTTACTTCTCTTTAGTAACTCAAATCTCCAAGTTTTTGTTCACTTCTGATGTGGGTAGGTATTGAACTCACAACCCTTTGGGTCAAGTCACTGGATTCAACCAATGCTTTTATTCACTGAACTATGTGACGTGTAGATTTGAGTTATTAAAGGGAAGTAACTGAAACTGTGATATTCAGAAAAGGCATGGCACGTGGAACTAGAACAATCTACCCCGGTGAACAAAATAAAGGGTTCAGTTCGAAATTCCAGCGTTTATCACCCGAAGAAGGCCGGAGAGTATAACGACCGAAACGTCGTGAACATGAGAATAAAGATGAGAATAATGGAAATAGAATAAAATAACAAAAATAATAATTAGAGTCATGCCAAAATGAAGGGCAAAATCATCTCATAGACCATTACTTCTAAGGTGAATTGGATCCTCGCGTAACTACAATAACTTTTAACAAACATGTATGTATGTATAAAGAAACGGTTAATGTTACCATTACCATTCATGTCTATGTAGTGCCAGGATGTTACGTGTCCTTGAAAGGAAATCGGTTTTAACAGGCAAGGTATTGTCTCATCATAGTTGTCCTTCTTGTCCAAAGAAGACTTTGTCTTTCAATTCAGCAGTAGATCAAGATGAATTTTCAAAACAGAACTGTGCTAGAAGAATTTACAGTGGAAAAAAAAGTTTCACTGGAGTAATCCCACTCTCTCAGCCTGTCGGGTGTGAGGTGGGGGAGAATCTTCATCCGCTGGTACGAGAAACCGTTACAACCGGAGACTTCCAGACTGAAATAGAGAAACCAGGACGTGTCACGTCGATGTCCCGGTGCACTCCAGGTCACTTGCTGACACCACCTTCTATGGCTGTTCGATCTGTAGGGAGATCTCATTCGTCCACTCCTCCGGGAATCAGTCCTCACATGTAAGACGGCTGACAAACCTGAAATTATCTAGAAGTTGGATCCGTCGACTATCCTCCCCTGGTTTACCCGCTATTTAGAGCACCGTGTCAGAGTTATACGCTGGGCGGGAACTAACTCGGACGAACTACTTCTAGACGAGGCCGTCTGTTGGAGGTGCTAAATCTCGTGACACTCCAGTGGTATTATATAAGGATTAATATAAGATTAAATTTTAGGATTAGTTCAATATATTCCAGTTGCAGGTTTCTTGAAAAGTTCACCTGTTATTAAATGAGGTTATCGACAGAAATACAGAAAAACCTTTCAAGTGTATCTTCGTTTTTAAAACTCGATTGGGAAAATGGGCAATTTCCTTCAATTTCTACTTCAAACATTTGATTAGTTGGTGCCCAGGTATGGTAAGGCCAGGAGATATTCAGCGTGAGGAAGAGATCATTTGTGAGGCGGAAGTAGATACAATTAGAGAAGACAAAAGATAATTGCAGGAAAGAGGTGATAAAACGAAAAGGAGAAAATGGTGAAGAGAGAGAAGGAAAGAGAAAAGAGGGACAAATAGAAAAAGTAAAAGAGAAGGAGAATAAAGACGAGAGAAAGAAGGGAAGGGAATTGAGTGAGAGTAGAGAGGAAAAGAGTAGCGTGACAGGAGGAGAGAAGGAGAAAGCGGCAAAAGAAAGAAATATGGATGAAAAAACGTGGAGGAAAGTGGGAGTAACAGAAGAAAGAGAGAAAGAAAACAAGAGGGGAAAAGTAGAGCGGAGAGAAAGAGGGGTAGGAAGAGAGAAGCGGATAGTGCTAAAAAAGAAATATAGAAGAGGAATAACAGAAGTATGAATAAAAGAAAAGGAAAAAAAGAGAGACTGACAGAAAAAAAGGAAAAGAAAAAGGAAAAGAAAAAAGAAAGGGAAGAGAGAAAAAATGAAAAGGTGCAAGAAAAACATAACAGGAAGAAGGCAACAATGAAAAGAAGAGGAGAGCAGCAAAAGAAAGAAATATAGATGAGAAAACGCGGAGAAAAGTGGGAGTAACGGAAGAAAGAGAGAAAGAAAGAAAACAAGAGGGGGAAAAATAAAGCGGAAGGAAAAGAAGGAACGAAAGAGATGAGAGAAGAAAGAAGGGTAGCAAGAGACGAAGTGGGAAGAGGATAGTGATGAAAAAAAGAAGAGAAACAGAAAGAATAGGAAAAAAGTGACCGACAGAAAAAAAAGAAAAGGGAAAAGAAAAAGAAAAGGGAAAAGAAAAAAAGGAAGGAGAAAAAAATGGAAAGATTCAACAAAAACATAACAGGAAGAAGGCAACAATGAAAAGATTAACATATCAGGTTTGAAGCGAAATGGCCATTTCGAATCAAAAATTCTAAAATGTCATAATTCAGCTGAAAGACAATTTTATCAGTTAAAGTAAGCATTATTAGAATGGGTAATATATTGAAAACGATTTGTTAGTGAATCCATCCCAATAAAAACTGGAATCGAGGAAGTATACAAACTTTCGAATTCTAGACCTGGGCCTTCTTCAGAACCTAGACGATCATGGACCTCCACATCTTCCTGTCTCTTAATGTTTTGTCTTTTTTGTTATTTCTCCCAAACCCTGTTCTACCATCCATTTACTCAAGCCAATCAGGTATGTTTTGTGATGCTTTCCTATATCCCTCTTTCCCTCAATCTGTCCTGTGAGTATCAGATTTTCCAAGCCCTTTTTCCTCATTACGCGCCACATAAATTTAAATAGCCTATTCGTGATGATAATTATAAGTTTACTTTTTCTGTTTACATTTTCTCCAAAACCTCGTAATTTCTCACATATTCGGTCAATATTGCCAAAAAAAAAAAAAAAAAAAATTTTAGGGAACAGGAGTATTGATTTTTTCTACGGCTTTTTAAACCTTTGCAGGTTATTTAAAGCCAGAAAATATTTTTTTATATAGTAAGATTATTTTGAGGTAATAATGGTTTAGTGATACAAGCCTCACTAATTAACCAATAACTGGGAGGAGAAGAGATAAATTCATACTTTTCCCAAGGCTATTTGCGTATAAGTAAATATAACGAACCCTATGGGAATTGGAACTCGGCACCCTGATTAACAATAACGAACCATTATTTATTACACCACCCGCACACCCAAGCTTGCAGCTTTCCTGGTCTTCCTAAATGGTCGTCCATCTAGAGGAACAGGACTATTGTATAGGGGACCTGCATGAGTTTTTGCTGGCTAGATCGTGAAGAATAAACTCTTGCATAATCTTACACCAGGTTATCTGACCAAAAAAAGGATATTGATGCCATATCAGTGGGTGGAGTTACCAAATCCTCACTTGACAACCTTGACCGAGTTCAAAGAAGATTACATGTGGTGAATAATTTTCAACCCTGGAACTATTTTCCCACAGACAAAACGTCGGAAGCATTCTTCTTCTGGTTCACTATTGGAAAATACTCCGACTAATTACATTACTTATTTCCACTTGTTTCAGATTTTACATCTAGGAGCAACCATGTTATGTAGACATGCTCGAATCAACTTCATTTATTTGTATTCCATTGATAAGAAAGAAGTTCCACTCAGTTTTTTTTTTCTGAGTTTCTGGCAATGAATTTATTTTACTACAATATTAAACAGAGTCGCGGAAGTTACCACACAGTTGGATAGAATCTTTTACCACATCCGCATTGGTATACGCCTGCTAGTGCGTATATGCATCTAAGACCTTAAAAGAAGTGATTGTCAATAAGGAAAAAATTGCCTGTTAGTTTGTGAAGAAAAAAGACTTGCAGAGTAGGACCCTTTTTTTATTCACTACTTTTGATAAAAATTGATTTCATCCTTTCATGTGTCGGTCCCAAATCGTGACAATTGGACTTTGCCGTGACGGTCTGACCAGTTTACAAGAGGCTGTAACAGACTACTGAAGATGAACAAAGAAGAAAGAGGACAAATGAAATTTAGTACGGAACCATATATCCTTGATAGATATATTTTTAAATGTCGATCATGGCTCTCCACAACTTCCTTTTAATTTTTATATCTATGATTTGCCATTAGTTATTGAGACATATAGTGGCGTGGATTTCCACTGACTTCTCAATGGTTTTCAATTCAGAGTTATTCTTCTAGTCTGGTTACCAGTCAAGGCTAAAGAGCCTCTGCTATTTAATCTATAGTTGGGGTGACATTGTTCAATGTCAGGCCACTCTACGAGTTCTACTGGTACCTTGCAACATAGTGTTATCTGTCGCATGGTCAAGTCATCGGCGACTAAACTGTTTTCCCCATCAGGCTTTTAAGGTGGGGAGCGTAGCTGGACAATCAGCAGGATAAAAACGATATGTCAAAGGGCGAATACATTTTGTAGTATCAATGTCCATTTATCACAATTGAGTAGATTGTAGTATGTTCAGTGAGGACACGGCATCGCTGGGCGAAGGGATTCCTAGACTGAAGTCAAAAGCCAGGCTGTAGGATTTCCCAGACGGAATCAATGGTCACATGTCAGTGACCAAGACGAGCCTTCAAGTTGGAGGGCATCGGCTGTGCTTTGACCTGAATGGGAATGGAACCGGCCAGGTCTACTTTCCCCAAATCACGAACGAATAAGTCTCCAGCTTTCAACCAAGATGTTTAGAGTGAGCAGGTCAGGTGTTCAGTTGCACCGCCACTCTACGGCCCCCACCCCGCACCAGGAATGGGGCTGCTGCTGCTGCTGCTGGTGGTGATGATGTGTGAAGAAGAGATGGTTCATGCTGCTCCAAAAATGTATTTGTGTGAAAGTGAACACAAAGTAACGAAACTGAAATTTGAACTCGGTTTGATCGTGTTGATATAGTTAACTCTAATTTTCCAGAAGCGTAGAAACGGTAAATTTCTGTAGAACTTGGTACTTTAAATAAGACCTTTAGTTAAACTTGAATATTGGTAACTATAGCAAATTGATTAATGCACTTTCTTCTGCGAGAATATGAAACAGAGACAAAATAAAGTAAAAAAAATGTAAAATAGAATAAAAAGAACAAAGAAGAAGGAGAAGAAAAGAACTAGAGAAAGAAGAAGAGGAGGAAGAAAAGCAAAATGGAAGAAGAGAAAACGAAACGATAAATAACGAGAAGAGACGCAAGAAGGAGCAAAAAAGAAACAAGAGTTAAGGTGTGACCAATGAGAAGCCTATGCAGCGAGTTTTCTGATTTGTAATGATGAAGTAAACAAATCTCGAGGCAAACACGAACTGAAGTTAACGCACGAAATCGTGCGCCATTTTCTCTTCGGCTGGATAATACCATCTAGACTCTCATTTTCAGCGTCTTGTCTTACTGTGCGGTTCTAGTAAAAATAGTATCATACCCGACAACGCATGCGTAGTAAACAAGATTGAAATAAATGCGTTTGGGAAAACAGTATTTTAATCCATAAACATGGTCGGTGCCAGTTTGAGCTACTGAGCCAATGTGCAAAGGAATTACTGTAGAAATATAGATCTTAGACTTGCAAGCCGTTTCTAGTGACTGTAATGGACGTCTGACTGAATATTTCGACCGTGTGTTGTATACGAGATCTCTTCGAAAAGGATTAAGCTATTTCATATTAACGAAAGAAATGACATGCCTATGGTAATGTCGCCTTAGTCTCTTTGAAAATGCTTCCAGTGTGTGTTTCACTTTTTAAAGCTCTCTAAAACTTACTCTTTTCGGATCGTCATTAGTTGCCTCATTATATTCTCTTTAATCTCACCCACGGTGTTTCAGCAGCAATTTCAGCTTTAGGAAAAGTACAAGGATTGCATGAGATCCATTTTGCACTGTGGGAGCTAGTATATTATGCCAAGAAATACTAGACTTTTTAAAATTGAATTTAATGTCAATAAGGAACCTTTCTTTTATGAGAAGTTCACCAGAGAAGTCAAGTGCATTAGCGGATTGATCTAGAAGGTAGCATCATAGCCACCAGATGCAGATTCGTACCTCAGAGGATATCAGTGGCTGGCCTCGATTCGTAAACAGCTGGTATATCTAGCTGCGCTTAGAATATACATATGTGGGACAAACAGATGAGAGGAAGATATATAAGCGCCCCACCTAAGTGGGAAAAGACGGAATCTCTCTCGTCCGCAAGAGAAGAATAATCTCCATCCAGAGAAAGCTCACAAAGCCTCACACACGGGTCGATTAAAGGATGAAGATGAATAAACCACAAGTTTCACGTTTGAGAGATTTAGTATCGTGTTTTTCTTTGTCTTTTAATTTTTTTTTTTACAGTGAGGTTCACCCTGTACAAGGCCTAGGAGCCACTAGAGTTAGAGGGCTATATAACAAGAGACACAGTTTATACGGATATATAGGGAAGATAACTGTTAACTCTATTGACAAGGTTAAGATTTTAGTGATTCTGGAAAGCATCCTCTTGGGAGTCGGTTCCACAGAGCAGTGGTTCGAGGAAAAAAGCTGCTCGAGTGGAGCTTACTTCTCACCAGTGGAATACAAAGGGAATGAGGATGGTTCGGTACAATATGCGTAATGTGGCTGGTTTTAGCCTTGGACGTTAGCACTAGTGGAACTAAGTAATGTAGTTCGCCTGAGCACTTTCCACGGAAATAGCGATTAAGCAGCGAGAAGATTGAGACGTTTCGTCTGTGAGAAAGGGGTTGTAGGGTTGAAAATTGCACTAAGAGACCGGCACGAGAGGGTAAGAATCGACGCTCTTGGTCATTTTAAATGCGACAGTCACTCATTACGCAAACTCACCCAACAGCATCTCAGTATCGGCTGAGTTGCACCAGCGAATAGTGTCCGATCCCATATGAGCAGGTTCACTCTGATTGGTTACCAAGTTGTATCATGATTGCGCAACTGAATGCATAAATACGTTCTGGACAGTCATCGTAATTCTATTAGTAGGTATTTATTATGCTAAGCCTGCTCTAGCATAGAAACACTATTTAATCCTTGAAGGCAATGTATTGACTCTAATTCAAGCACCCAGAGATGTGGTACAGTTAATTAAGTCCTGTACAAGTCTAAAAAGAAGCCGGTCACTTAGTGAGAGCCGAACGCAGTGAAAATGGATTGTGTGAAGCACTATGCCTACCATGGAGCGATAGTTCAGGCGCCTTTTTAAAAAGTCAACAAAGCCACTAACACGTAGGCTGGGCGTACGGCGTGTGAAAGAATATAAGAAAAACTATTAAGGATAAGAGAACAATAAAAGAACATGAATTAAAAAGACAGAATGACATTGCATTTAAATTTCTGAAGATCAAACTTGAATGGGAAGCAAGAAATCGGAAAA